CTGTAAACTGCGCACAAAATTTTAACGCGGGGTTGTTTTTTACCATTTCCATGTTTGGCAAGTAAGCTGCAGTCCAGACTGTAAAGTGCGCACGAAATTTAAACGCGGGGGTCGTTTTTTACCACCACCATTTTTGGCACGTAAAATGCAGTCCAACTCACGTAAACGTGTACCTCCTTCAGGGAAGCAGAAAACACTGGAAACTCTCACGTACTGTTTCCTGACGCCTACCGAAACCAACTGCTCGGCTTGCAATGTTCACTTGCAAATTACGCATATAACTGTAGTATTCACTAAGCCAACAATGCGTCACATTCTGAGTAATCTACTGAAATAGGTAAACCGAAAAACGCAGGCGAATCTGATAGCAAAAGCATCAATCTACATACCGAATGAAATGTAATGGACAAAAGAAGATTAGAAGCTCATTTCCCCGCATGAATTTAAAACAGACATACACGGCAGACTTTACTGGTCCCAACAAGTGTCCTAACAACTTGCAAAAGGCAACCTGTCACTGCATAGTACAGATAACGTATAAGAAACACGAAACAGTTTGAATTTGCGTTTTTTTAAAAAATACAATGAAGAATATTGTTTAATTTAAAATGGCAACTTGAAAACTCAATTTAGGAAAGAAGAATAATGGGATTTTACACTCAGAGAGGCATGTACAATCTGAGGACTGAAGATTACCAGAGCAATTTTAGGTCGACGATGTAGTCCAGCTGTATGTACAGGTGGGGTTTCTCTTGTCGCATTTAAGCTGCTACCAAGTAGCGCAGTTTCCCTCTTGCTCGAGACCACAAATGCACTTGAAAGGTTGTTTTAGGGTCATCAGAGTGACTGCGTCCTTGGAGGTGCTTCATAACAGAAGGCGGATTTTTACTTTTTTGCTTTGAATTTTGCCATTGCGTTTGCCCAATATAATGGATTTCTTGGAAATAGTTTAACATTTGCCAGAGAAAAATTAAATTGATGCCAAAACCGCGTTTTCTTTAAAGTCAATGTTTACATACATTTCTACACTGCATGCATTACCCAAGTCTCATATAAGGGAACTACGTCTAAAATCAGTTCAGCTTATTTCTAACCCGCCCTACCTGTGGTTAGCACAGGAGCTTGTCAATAAATAAAAACTTTGTATCATGTTCGGATTACACGATAAAAGATGGGTTTTATTGCGTTGGAGAAATTAGACATAACAACATTTCAAACAACTGAATGGCATCTTTGGACGTACAACCACATTTTGATAATGTACCATTTGATGAGATGCTAGATGTCTTATGACCCCATGCGTTGTTACCACTCTGACACCATAAATACTATCTGACATGCAAAAAAGTCTTCATACATATTCTCAATTTCTATTTAGTAGACAACTATACAGACCGTTTGACGGAGTAATATTGGGACACTAGATCCAGTCTTTGCCAACATTCAATGGACTGACTGACAGAAAAGTTGTCATCCAAACTGATCATGAAAATCCTATACAGGAAATATGTGGATGACATAATCGCCATTACTGATAACAGCATGAAAGCAAAAGACCTACTTTTTGACTTGAATAGTCCTTGTCCGAAGAGAAAAATTGGGAACAGTGTAGTAACCTATCATTTGTGGACGTCCTAATGACTAGAATGGAAGATGGCTCAGAAAATGATCCGTATCCCATAAGGACACATGGAAAGGGCAGTGCTTAAATATCCTAAGCTGATTGTAGCAGCCTGTCAGCGGGATGGGCAGTGCGTGATTTACGCCAACGGAAGCACGGAGTTTTCTTTGAGCGCAAATCGATTTTTTATTTTCTGACATTTCATCAGCTTTTTCTCTGAGGTTCTGCTCCACCCGTAAAACCTCCATTACCATTATTCCCGTGTTACACGATCCACGGGCTACCGACAACTCAGTCGGGCTCTTCACTCCACTGTTGGCAACATTTAATGAGGGAGGTCATCTACTTAAGTCCATTTAATTTGCTGCTGTTGGTACTGGAATTAATTCAGAATACATTTGAAGCCATACTTACTTCTACATAGCGCCAAATCCAAATTCTCTGGCTCATATTCAAGTTTCTTAAAGTTTTCCATTTATTTCACATTTACTTATATGACACTTGATAAAACATCACTTGAAGCATTATCCCTTGGTCCTAAGTTTTGCATACCTCGTCGAAAAGTCAATCAGTTAGAATTGGAAACTCAGTTCGAGAACCTATGGAACCAAACCTATGACCTATTGCCCGCTTCGACAGACAGTTTCCAACTGCAGTTAAAAGTACCTGAACAAGGAGCCAAAAAGTCAGGGATTGCTGACAAAATCACATGTGGAAAAGTTAAAAGAACTTCAAGAGAACAAAGATATCTTGGTAACTAGACCAGACAAAGAAACAGGCGTCGTTATAATGAACAGATCGGATTACGTAGTGAAGATACAGTCCATATTATCAGACCAGAAGAAATTCAAGAAGGGAGGCAAAGAAAAGGACTGCACGGAAAAAGTAGAGACGAAACTGAATGACTGTCTAAGGCTCTACACAGGGAGTCGCATAAGCGACCGTGACCTAGAACAGCTTGGACCAGTCGGCACACATATCCCTCGACTATATGGCCTACCTAAGTTCCATAAAGAAGGCCTGCCAGTCCGTCCGATTTTAGACATGCGAAACTCTCCGTATCATGCGATAGCAAAGTGTCTAGCAGAGAAACTCAAGTCTGTACAGCGTCAGCTAGCACCACGCAGCTATCGAGATACCTTTGAATTCATTGACGACATCAAAGACCTTAACACCAACGGCATGGTGATGTTCTCGCTAGACGTCTCATCACTTTTTACAAACGTTCCGGTCACCAAGACAGCTGACTACCTCTCATTTTCTATCTGCCAGCCAGCAGGAAATAGGGATTCTGACGAATACACTCAAGGAACTATTACTAAGATGCACATTAAATGTGCAGTTCCTGTTCGACAACCAACTCTTTAGACAAGTAGACGGCGTTGCTATGGGCTCGTCCCTTGGACCTCTCCTAGCCGATGTCTTCATGGGAAAATTGGAGAGATTCCAACTAAGCGAACAGATCGATAAGCTTAAACATTACGGTCGCTATGTTGACGATATCTTTGCCATTGCCACTGCAGAAACCGATGTAGCAACCATCTTAGATGCGGCAAATCAGGCACATCCGTCGATCATATTCACGCTGGAGATGGGAACGGCCGGTTCGCTCCCTTTCTTAGATGTTCTTTTAAGCAGGAGACCTGACGGGAGTGTCCGAAAAAGCGTCTATCGGAAGAAAACCTGTTCTGGACAATACACGAACTTCGCCAGTTTCGTACCCCTCCAACAAAAACGAAATGTGGTCCGATGTTTGGCAAAAAGGGCTAGAAAAATTTGCACAACAGATAGCATCGAGGAGGGACTCAGAAAAATCCAGGACTTCCTTCGCGAAAACGGATATCCCGAAAGGTTTATTGAAAAGAATATTGCTGAACGACCGATCAAACCCGCCACACCGACCGCCGAAAAGACGACTTTGTTCCTCAAGGTCCCTTTCCATGGGGACGCCGCGAGTGAACTCCTAAGGAGACGTCTTGACCAAGCTGTCTCGCGAACCTTCCTAGCAGTAAGGGTTCAACTAGCATTCTCCACTAACCCGATTTTACGCGGAGAAGGTAAGAATAAGTTGCCACCGCAGACCACCTCAATGTGCATATATTCCTTCACTTGCTCCTGTGGAGCAGGTTATATTGGTCGCACGAGTCGGCGCTTATCCAAGAGAATACGCGAACACCTTCCCGCATGGCTGGCAAAAGGTGAATCTAGGAGAATAGACAGCGCCATTCTCGCGCATGTTGTCGATTCCGGACATCGTGTGGACCCCAACGAAGCTTTTCGTGTAATTTATAAGGTCCCATCGAGCTACCCTAAGCTACTAGGCCAGCGCCTGTTAGCGACAGCGGAAGCAGCCGCCATTAGGCTACGAAAGCTAATCTTATGCGCGCAGAAGAACCACGTTCAGGCTCCGCGCCTACAGTGGTCAAAGGTCGACTAACGCTGCTACACTTCGCGCCCTTCCGCTCTCACCCCGTCCCTGACAATGACTGCTATTACCCACCCCCCCCGCATTCCCACACCCCGCCCGTGTTTTAAGTAGAACTTTTATAGATTTTTCTTATCTCTGACGTTTTTTTCTTCTACCTTGTTCTCATATAACTGTACTGGCCCGACGAGAATTTATCGAAAGCTACGTATGCTCGCCACCTCGTCTTCTGATTACTGCTATGGGAATTTTCGCAACTCTAACTTTGATTTTTCACGAAATATATACAGCAAATCTGATATCTGCAAGTGTGTCTGAAGTTTATCTCCACATTGCTTTCCTCTAGTCTTCTGAGTTCCTCATCATAGTCAGCAAAACAATGCTATTTGCTACACATTTAAATGCGATTAAACTGAGACTTTAGCACCAATGTGATTGGTTGGTCTTCAATGCTTCCGTGTTTTCATTTGGACTATTCGACGACGCACGCTTCGAACCCATGTGAGCTATAAGAACGACACGCACCGGTCGTTATTATTTATGAAAATTTTGATTTGCCACTGAGTTAGAAACTTACATTAGCGTCCTTGTTAGTGACTCCTTCAAAAGCTGTGCTCCGATATTAGCCAACCAGACGATACCTTTTTATGTCTTTTATATTTGTATAAGGCGATTCTGAGTTACTAAATAACATGAAACTGCTTTTCGTATTCTTCCACTACGTCATAGTCAGCTTTTAGATTAATTGAAAAAATAGCCATATCTAGGAAACTTGGGGCGGTTTTAAGTTCTGCATCCCAAGACGTGTGATGCGTTTAGGTTTTCCATTGGTTCCATATGGGTTTACCAAAACAATCTCCTTACTGACACCGCATGCTCAGTTGTTTTGCACGAAAGCGACTCTGCTTTCCTTACCTGCATTTCCATATCTTTGGATTCAACGAAAATCGATACATGTGGTTTTCACAAGGCATCCTCGGGGCATTGTTCGTTTGGATCCCCGTGCTAAGTATCGGCCGATGTTGCAAATATACCAGTGCCTTTTTGAAGATGCTCCAATTTATATTCTACAGTTTCAACTAACCATCACTAAACCCTGATATTTTCTATCTTAAGCATGCTGAGACCGTCATCTTTGTTTATAAGATTGTCTGCGACGTCTCCTGCACCAGCATTTAAGAATTCTGACTTCGCAGAAACCGCTTGATTTTCGCGAATGATCATGCGTATTCATTTTTCATCCGCAGACCACGAGGAGTTTAGAAGTAATGAACTGCCCGATAAATGTGGACAACGTCCTGACCTACAAACACCAGCTGGGAACTATACAGAACGAAAAAAGGAGGCCAAAGAACATGCATGGCCCTGGCATGTAAGTAAACAAAGACTTTACGTCATTTAACGTTTAATTTGCATATTTGCACAATGCCTAAAGTTTGAAATTGTAAGTCACTATGCAAAAATGACAAACAGTGTCTTAAACATTTCATAAAATATTTTGCGAGTTAATTTTGCAGATTCAGCAGGAATTTATGATTCTATTTCTCGTCAATAGGTTGGAGTGTATACTTCAGCATTTGGGACATATCCATTCTGTGGAGGAACCCTAATCGCGCCTAAATGGGTTTTGACTGCCGCCCATTGCGTCATTATGGCCCTTGGATACGACAATGCCACGCTTGGTCAGCTCTTTTCCTACCAAGAAATCACAGGCAGTGCTATGACTGTTTTTATTGGATCTCATGATTTTACAAGGCAAGATGGTCCAGCGTACAGAATCCTAGTGGAGCATGTAATCATGCATCCAAATTTCCCGCTTGATGGACCGAAAATAGGTTTTGACGTTGCGCTTTTAAAACTGACTCGTGTGGTGAAACCATGTAGGCTTGCCCATTTTTTCAAAATGTTTTTGTTTAAGTCCCTGTAATTTTCCTCGTCCCATGTACAAAGCTCACCACTTATGTACTTTTTATAGTATATTCAAATATAAGATCAAAACTATTGATAGTTGATATTTTAAATCACTACAGTCAACTCTCCGTATTCGCGGGGGTTAGATACTACAGATAACCGCGAATACTTACACTCTAACTAATACGTGAAGTCCCTATAAAGGCGTTAATAACTCCCAAGTATGCCTTACACTTCGGTCGATGCACATTTATATGAAATATTAACAGAATATTTACTACTATTGCCAATCGTATCTTTGACTAGAAATGACTATTTAAGCAGAGTTGTAATACTATTTATTGTTATGAGGAACGCCTATAGATCGCGTTAAGGAACTTACACGCTCCGTTATGCCTTGGAGCTCCTTCTTGAGCCTCGTCAGCAATTGCATCGCGGCGCGTGATAAAAGAAGAACGGCATTACCGAAAAAGACTAGGGAGACAAAAATGGCCATTTCTAGCTCATTAGCCGTCACCAGCGAGGGATACCCAACGCAGAGGTGTGGAACACCTGCGTTTCGAAGCGCGATCGGTGGGCGCCCCTCAACCATTATATATGCCCAATCGCAACCAACAGAACAACCAGCACGTGACTTTGTGGTATGAGACGTTGGACTACCAACCAACAGGTTGCGGGATCGAGCCGCAGGTGTTCAACACGTCGGATTGGATTTAGCTAGCTAATGACAACTGGTAAGCCAGAAATGGCCCTTCTAGTCTCTTTGCCTTAGTCGATAATGCAGCTCTGCCAATACTTGTTATCGTGGAACATAATACAGTGACGATTCAGTCACGTCATGATGCCGGCTCTTGAAATAGGCGTTTTCTCGGAGCACGCAAAAACTGCATATTAGCAGTGACAACTTAATTAGGACGTTTTTTCCCCATTAGTTTTTGATACTTTGAGAAATTAAAATATATTTTGTATGAAACATGCCTAGAATTAATATTTTACGTTGACTTGGTGGTTATGACGTTTTTTTTTAATTTAATGCATGATGAAAGAGTATATTTAGGTTTAAAATTGTTCCTTGCTTCCCGAAATCCCGGAAGCCACCTGCTGTTTCATTTGTATTCAGGGTTTCGATACCACAAGCCGTATACTTTATGCGTAAAAGGAGCATGTTTCGCTGTGATGTAAGGAAGACGTCATATTGGGCTCACACAGTATTGCAATGGGTGTAGACCATGTCATTCACCTTGCATTCCTCAGTAATAAAAGTGCCGATGTGAGGCTGAACGATTGGCCACTTCACGGTCGTTAAAGTCTTATAAACTTATAACCTTTTTAGAACCGAAAGATGCATTTGGCGTAGAAAGTAAATATAAAAAGACGTAATTTCCAGCCAACTGAGTATAAGAATGTACATTTTTATGCATGTTTTGCGAAAAACAAATTTAAGTTTATTAAGATATCGAAGATGAATGGGAAAAATTCATAATAACTGAGCACGCTATTCTAGAAGCGTAATTTTGGTGCGGGTTGGAAAGGAGATCTTTCAGAGTCTGGTATCCTGACATGAGTAAACTTTCTTGGGATTGTGCTGTATGCTAGTCAGCATTGGAGCTCTACTTAAATAATCCTTTCTAATTGAAAACAAATTCGAGAATTTCGGTTACCGTTTCATGGGTTAGCACATTCATTGTATCACTCTAAAACGCCTCAATATTATTAACTGTCCCACGTTGATAATTGCGTTCTAAAGATAATAAATAATTTTTATCATTAGGAGGCCACTGTACGCAAAATAAATCATCAGAATAGTCTGAAACCCCTCTCCGTTAATCTGAAGTTTATCATTTCACAAAACCTTCCCTTGACGAAATAATTATGACGGCGAAATAGAACTTTAATTCTGCAAAAACAAAATATGTTGTTTAATATGCACTGTATGACTAACAAAATGACCATGGGGCAAAATATATACTAACATAAAGTAGACTCTATGTCAGGCGAGTCTTATGCGAACGGCCTGACAGTAAAATCATCTCCATTACTGAGCACGTTTTCTCAGACAATTCTTCAGCAATTTGTTCCAGAACGTTCAAAACTTTCATAGTTACTTGAATTCCGGAGGGTTACTCAAAGTTTAAGAAAATTGAGTAATCTAATGGCTATAGAATTTTTTTGTAATAATTTGACAAGACGTATACTGTAATAGAACCTATAATAAAACCGACTCATGTGTAGAGCTATCTCCTCACACAGCAGCGCAGGCCGCATTTGCGTGTCTGCCTGATTCCGGATTCAAACTCCCAATTGGACACCGCTGTTATATCGTTGGATGGGGACTGATTGCTAATCCTCCAAACAAACCCTCCCAACAGCAACCAGAAGTGCTGATGGAAAAGCCCGCAAGAATTGCACCGATATCGGGCTGCAAGAAAGTCTTCTCGTCATTTAAAGCAGACGCTCATGTTTGCACTGAGCAGGCATTTGGGGTAAGAGGACGTTTTCACTATAATTCGGCACATAAAGCACAACGTATCACATGTTTTTGTAAGTTTAGACCTCATGTGTCGGCGACAGTGGAGGGGGATTGCACTGTCCCACAAAGGATGGCAGATGGACAGTGTATGGCGTAGCTTCCTTCGCTTCGCCTGACTGTGTAGGAGAATTCTACGGGTGTGTTAAAATGGACTCTGTGCTCAGCTGGATCAAGGAAACCATTGTCATCGCTATCTAGGGAACTTTGTTTAACATGAAAATCCTACAATTGTGCTATTATGCACAATTTTGCAACAACGCGTCCATTTTCTTGCATATTTATCTTAAATTTCTAAACGAGGTTTTACTTTTAACATGAAATAAATTAAAAATATAACTAAAATGAGCAAAACCATACTTTAAACTCACGCCCTCTTGCAAATGGGCGGATACCTTAGTGTAATTAATCATTTGTAAATTAAATTGTTTGAATTTGGGAGAGCGCATTTTGTGTTATGGTTTATTTTCCTGCGCCACAGTTCCCAAACTATTACGTTAATTAACCATGTGTGCCCTGATAAACTGGCAAAATATTGCACACAGTTCATGATCGACCGGCAAAAAAATATTCAGACGCGTAAAGCGTCCTATTGTAAAGAAGATGAACACGCGAGTTCCGGAACAGTACGTGCATTAGTCTGAGCCTTCGGGTGCTCATCTTATTTACAACAAGAACCTGGAATTCGTATATTCGCTTCCATCCATTCGTCCAATTATTTTGCTACAGCATAAACATAAATGCAGAGTAAAGGGAAATACGGGGTTGTCGATGATGAGGCGCGTCATAATGTTTGAATATAAATTTAGACGAACATTTGTAATAAAGACATTTTTTCGAATGAGGTTCCTGTTGGCAAACAGAAATGGACGAGTCCGAGGAGTATGGCACGGTTGTCGTAAAGGCAAGTACAAACTTAAATACTGCTGGACAATTATGTATCTTCTAAGTTCTGCGAAAAGTCCCACATTAGGACTGAAAAGCCAGTTGCCAAACATGTTTTCAGTAACGCATCATCAATTTAGTATATTTACATGGGTAATGATCTTTTTGGTTGTAGACAGGATATTAAGCCCAGTTCGAGAGTCTCTCTAGTCGGACTAACGATCTAAAAACCTTCCCACCTATCGACTCTGGTAAACTGCTGTGAACTGTATTTAAGAAAGCGTCCGAGGAACAAAGATCTCCTAACAAGAGCCCGGCTCGATAGTCTCAGGGGGTTTGGTCAAAATGAAAATATCGTACTAACCAGAACTGACAAGGGTTCAGAGATGGTGCTGATGGCTAAGACGGATTACGTGGAGAAACCAGAGGAGGTCTTACCGGACCGTACAAAGTTTCAAAATCCGAGAAAGACAGGGATCTAACCGAGACTATCTAGAGTCATTTGACAAAAGTGCTTAAAGATCACCACAAGAAAGGACTTTTGCCTGATAAGGAGTTGGAAGGACTAAAACCTATGGATACGACGATACCTGGAAAGCACGGTCTTCCTAAAATTCGGTTGGCGAAATTGAAAGAGGCACGATATAAGCCGCTTTCAAGCGATCAACTTAGACCACGTCGGTGCGGCCTCCACGGTCAACTGTAAAATGCTCGTCCGTGCGAGATAGTACTCGAAATGAGCCGTTATAGGGCCTCTGTAGTGGCCGATGAAGGCTATGTACGCCGACAAATACAAAATTACATGCTAGTAAGTTCGGGTCGATGTAGGACTTACTTCTTGGAGCACGTGGAGGAGTGGGTCTAAGATGAGTCATGGCTTGGCACAATCTCCGCACATAATCGTTCGAATCCAAATCAGCTGGTCTTTGAGAGTACCCGAAAAAAATCACCGGGAATCCGTAGGGTAGTACCGTAGACAAGTTCGGCAACGAAGCACTCAAAGTCGGCCTTGAGTGCAGTACGGATACGCAGCATAACCAAAGGCAGATGCTCGCTCCAATGGGAAGAGTTGTTCTGAGCTCGGAAGGAAACTTTGAGTTGCCGATGGAAATGCTCGACTAAGCCGTTTAATGAGGGGTGGTATGCTGCCTTGCGTATGCGAGAACATCCGAGGAGGTTAGTAAGGCTGTTAAAAAGTCTGGACTCGAATTGTTGGCCGCGATCGGTGGTAATAGTTGAGGGGACGCCATAATGAGAGATCCGGTATTTCAAAAAGGCATGAGCAACGGAATCTGCAGTTATGTTAAGTATGGGAGCTGTAATGAGTCAACGAATAAATCGATCAGTCGCGGTAAGTAAATAGTTGCAACCACGAGATGTTTGAAAAGGACTTACCAGGTGCGTCGGGAGCCAGAAAAATGCCAATGGGGCTTTGTATTGTCGTCCGGCTTTGGCCTTCTGACAAGCTAAACATGAACGGGTCCACTGGCGGATATCAGTGTTCATGCTTGGCCAAACGAAACGCTCGCTTGTGTAGTGCGGACGCCAGGGTGAGCCAGATTGTGCAACGCGGCAAAACATCTCGTCTCATCTCGCTTGGCACTACGGGTAGGGAGGCAACGCGCGATACGTCACACAAGATTCTACCGGGGGTGGTGGAATGAGGAATGGCCTCGAGCTGAAGATTAGTGTGTTGAAGGCCGTCAGTAAATGTCCGCTGGTTTTGAGGCTCTGCCATGCGCTCCAATTCGATGGAAGGGTGGACGATGTCATTAATGCCAGGCCGGTAAAGACCGTCATCGACTTGATTAAGAAGGCCCTTTAAGAAATCGAATGTCGGTGATATACTGAGAAGTAAAATCGAGATGGCGGGCCTCATGCGGTGAATACTTACCCGAAGAAATAGAGAGGGCATAAGTAAGAGGTTTGTGGTCAGTATAAATACAAAAACCTCGGCCCTCAATATAATTACGAAAATGCTTAATGGCTAAATAAATTGCAAGAAGTTCTCTACCAAAAGTGCTATAGCGAGTTTGTGGAGGTGTCAGTTTGGCAGAGTAGAAAGCCAAGGGCTGGGTACCAGTAGGCGTCTGTTGCAGAAGCGCAGCACCTTTAGCGAAATTGGAGGCGTCGACCACAATGGAAAGTGGGGTATCAGGTATAGGATGAACAAGGCAGTTTTATCCGCAAGAGCCTTCGTGGCACGATTGAAAGCCTCTACAGCTGTGTCAGGAAAAAGAAACTCACGGTTGAAAACGCCAAATTGGCCAAGTTCAAAAATGAGACGAAATGCTGTAAGTGTTCCTGTTCACTGGAACTTACTACCAGAACATCGTCAACATAGACAAAAACGAAAGGTATGTCGCGGAGGGCTTAGTTGATGAAACGTTGAAAAGTTTGAGCAGAGTTACATGGCCCAAATGACATTCTGACAAACTCAAAAAGACCATACGGTGTTGTAATCGCCGTTTTGGGAACATCTTCTGGAGCAACGGCTATCTGATGGAAATCTTTGACTAAGTCAATGTTGGAAAATATTGTTGCTCCGGCTTGGCCAGATGAAAAGTCTTAGAGATGGGGAAGTGGATATCTGTCAGGCATAGTGCAGATGTTTAACCATCGGTGATCCCCGCATGGGCGCTGGTCAACAAGAGACTTTTTACACACTGAATGTAAAGGCGCAGCCCATGGGCTAGTAGAAGGCGTGAGTATGCCTAGCTCCATAATGTAACTGAATTCAGACTTGGCTGTGGTCAAATTATCGGCGGCTAAACAGGATGGTCCGTTAGTTTAAATATAATGCACAACAGAATGCTTGGTAGGTTGGTTAAATTGTGAGGGTCGGGCGATAGATGGAAATCCTGAAAGCGAACGATGATAGGGAGTAGACGAAGGGATGGTTGAAATGCGTGGATTAGATGATGAAAATGGACGAGTGGAACATTTACAGTATAAACAAGTCTTAGGGTTAAATATTTTATGGGACTTGATGTCAACGAGGAGACCGAAAAAGGATATAAAATCAGCGCCGATAATGACAGTATGAAAATCAGCGACACAAATAGCCAAAGAAATGAACGTCTTAGACCCTAATCTAGCGTTAGTGATCGTTCACGAAAAGTTTTAATAGAAATTCTGTTAGCAGATTAGAGGAAAAATGAAGGGTTTTGTTACTTACGGTCAGTCAAGATGGGTAGGATTAGACCGATCTCCGCACCAGTATCTATTAGAAAATTACGACAGGAACCCTTGTTATAGATCTGGAGTAAGCGAATGATAGAGGATGAGGCGACCACGTTCGTCGCCCTAACTTGTCAGCAGGGAAGTTTTCCAACGCAGATGTCTTGTATTTGCACGGAGTGTGACAGCGATGGGCGTTAGAACCATAATTATGATGATACCAACTGAAACCATCAACTGTAGAATGGTTTGGAGTGGGAGATCTTGGGCTGCGAGTAATCCAAGGACTACGACCCTAACCCCAACCCTAACCCTGGCCCAATCATTTCCGCTTCCATTTTAACTCCCTCAACGTTTTCTTTTCACTAAAAAATTCACTTTTCTATCTTACCACCTCACAACCCTACCCTCGGCGTGTTCAAATGTCCCACCCGTAAAACCCCCTCTTACCATCATTCCTGTATTAGAGGCAGTCGGTGTTTACACATTACCAGTGCTGCCGTAGAATTGAACCCGACTATTCTGGGATTTCAGGCTGCGTCTGCATCGAGGGCCAAGGCTGTACGGATACTCTACGCAACAGCCATTTTTATGCTAATAGCAGTACATATGTTTTAGGTGTCTCTGTCTCATACGTGTACGCATATATTTAAAGTCGTTAGTTGCCTTCTTAACAGACTATATACTTCTGATCAGTTTTTGGAATTTCCATTAATTTGTTGTCCATCTCCAAAACTTACACAAAAAAATCGAAGAGATGCATGAATTACTCAAGATGATGAATAACGTGTGGATTGTTGAATGACAGACAACCGGACGCCAGTCAACCGATAGTATACCTCATTCACACCCGTCAGACAAAACATGAACAAATAGATAGAGTGCTGCAAAGCATGAGATATTAATATTCTCGACCAGCATATGATTTCTTCAAACTAAGACGAACGCAAAGGCGTGAGAAAACTGTCGTCACAGCTACCGAAATTTCCACAGTGCAGTGCGGAAGCAGACGTGTGCTTCAACCGTCAAATTGACATGCAAGCACCGGTCTTGGCGACGAGATGATCGAGGAAGTTGCCTCAACACATCACGAAAGCGAACATTTCTGTGCAAGTGAATTGCGGCACCGCTGCCAC